AATACCACTCCTCCTCCATCTCTCCTCAAGTTAGGGATACTCTAAAGACAGAAGTGAAACCCCAGGCCTCTGTATAAACTGATTGTCAACTTCCCCTCCCTGTTCTATCTACAGCTTTCATCCAAAGCCCAGACACTATAGTGCAAAACAAGAAGTGGAATCCCAGTATTCTGGCCCTGGGCCAAAACAGGGAGGCTGCTGCAGATGGTGGTGCCATTATTTAGGCCTAGTGGTGTTGAGAGAGAGGGAACAGAGGCCTGCTGGCGTGACTTCACAGACCTCTAACCTGGGAATATCCATTTCCTTCAGCAGGACTCCCTCCTGAAACTCAATTCATTTCTTATTCCCTCTCCTTTTTTCCTGCAGTCCCCTACCAGCCCAGGACAATTCTGGTACTTCAGAGTTAGAAGGAAAAAGAAATATATGTCTAGTTTTCCCAAATGTTAAACAAAGCACCTAAAAGGGTCGGGGGAGACTTATAAAAATATAATGGGGTCATCCCCCACACTTCCCACATTATATGAAATGTCAAAATATAATGAATAGACTTTCCAAATATTACCATCTCTCTCCACCCATATACACCCAATCTGCAGCAGCCTCAGTACTGCCCTTTCACCTCTTAAAACGACTCTGCAGAGCCACTAGATAATGTATTTCATCCCACTGACCCACCTTTCCAAACAGGCACCCACTTGTAATTCCAAAGAGAATCTCCAAAAAAATAGACATCTGAAAAAACTACATCTGTTTACACTCAGTCTATCTGCATATTATTTCTGAAGATTATTACTTTTTTTTTTTTTTTTTTTTACCGTAAAAAGGATTGCATATTGGCAATATAATGAGAAAACTGTGGCGGCCGTTTCTGGGTGGTTGTGGAGGGTGGGGAAGTATAGAAGCACAAAAGCGAGAGGGCTGGGAGGAGGGACAGGATTGAGGCAAGGTTGCCTGGTGTCTCAGTCCTTGGACTTCTGAACTGTCCCATCTCTTTATTCACTCCCCTTTCTTCTCTTCACCTTTCCCATTCCCACTGCCCAGCCACATGCTGCACAGCTTTCTGGAAGCAGAGGCAGAATGGCTTTCTGGCATGTGTCCACTTGGGCCAATTTGAAGATGGGTATGGCATTAAAGGGTTGTGATGTGGTATACCCACCAGATCAAGCTTATTTGTGACTGTTTCCACTCTGGGAATAATTGTCCATCACTTTCTGTGACTTTAAAAATTTAAGCAGTTACTAGGCTGATAGGTTAAGGAACAAATCTTTTGTTCTTGTGGGTTTGCATTAATATTAAGCATGAATATATATCATATATTACATTGCTTTCCTTCCGCTCTGGGGCAGACTGCACTCTCCTTCCAAACAGGAAAACTGCACAGCCCATGGACTGAATTTTTTGAAAGCTGTTATTCCCCCACTCCCCACCCCCTACCCTCACCCCACCCCTTCCTCCCAGCCCTCAGTTTCTGTATTAGAAAAGTCCCTTCTGTCCCCCCTCCCACCAGCCCACCCGAGGTTAAGTAGATAGCGCCACATTCTAAGATTCATGCATCGCTGCATTTTGCTATTGCACATACTACGGAGAAAGAGTGGTGTGAATGTGCCTCCTCCCGCTCTTCCCCTCCCTTCCCTTGGTCTCTCAGATTCCTGTGCTATTCCCACGATGCTGTCTCCCAGCCTCCCCCACACTCCAGACCCTTCACTGGTTGTGGACATCCTCTCTACGGACAATCTTATATATGATCCAGTAGAACATGTTGAAGATGAGGAAGGCCATGGGGAAGCCAATGCGGGATATTTTGTCAATCTTCTTGGCTCTCTGGATGAAGAGTTTTCGCATTTCCTCTGGGGACTTAGATGGTGCAGGAGGGGGGTTGGTAGTGGTGGTGTTGTTGGTACCCTTGACTGAGATGCCATCCTTGGCCTGCAGACAGGCTGGGCCCATCCCATAGGCCGAGAAGTTGAAGCGGCCCTCTCCAGCCTCATCCTCCTGGAATAGATTCAACATGGGGCTCTACTTAAAATAAGACAGGGGCTGGGCACCCTCCCTGCAAGGCACTCCCCTGGAGGCCAGGCCATGCCCATTTGGTTCTCCCTGTCTCTCGTACCATTCCAAGTTTCTGAAGGCTTTTTGGCTGGCTGGGGAGTTCTGCCTTATAGAGGGGCGCCAACTGTATGCCCAAACAGATGCAAACCAGGGGATAGGAGGGCGGTTTGGGGGTTTGGAGACCTGTGCTTAAATCTCCACTCAGTCACTTGCTGGCTGTATGGCCTGAGGCAAGTCACTTCCTTTTGTGCATCCCAGGTTTTTAATTTTCTTTATTTCCCTGTAAGTAAGGGATAAGATTTACCCCCTTCACTGTCTCACAAGGTTCTTTTGACCGTTAGAAGTTATAATTGAGTAGATGCTTACTGTTGTACTGGATTTTGTTTAGAAATTCAGAGGACAATTTGGAGAGATCCCCTGCTTTGCCTCTGTTGCCTCTTTGCCCTTCTCCCTCCCTCGGCCTCCCTAGTTAGCAGCTCCCCAGGGGAAACGCCAGAGAAGCTCTGGGCTCCACCTTTGTTTCACAAGGTGGGGAAGCTTCTTACCTCCATGTTCCCACATACGGCAATCCTGAGACCTCTGGATTTTTATCAAGCTTTCATTCAAGGCCCTGCATTTGGCTTGAACTTACCTTTCTAGGCTTTCGTCTACCATATATCACACGTTGCACCTTTGCCAGCTTTGTTGCACTATTTTTGGTACATTCTCACCTCCGTGTCTTACGCTCACTACCAAAGCACCTGTTGCCCTTGTCCTTCAGGTTTATCCCTTTCCCGGGTCATAGTGATCTTGCCCTTGCCTGGATCATGGAGGCACTATCGTCTGCTTTGATCCTGTCTGGCTTTGCTGTCTTTCCATGCCAACTCTGAGGGGGCATTGAGAGTGCTGTGTTTTGGTATCAGCTGAGCTGTTGATTCAGTGTGTGACTCTGGGAAGTTTTATCAGCTCACATTTCCCTCCTAGGTAGTGAGTTTTTAGGGTAAGAACCCTATCTTCTGCTTGTTTCTATGCAGGACAGAACTCTCTATCTTGGTCTAATAGAGGACAAGGAACTCAGTATAGGATCCACCAGTGCTCACCATCTGGACTTGTGAGAGGGTCTCCTGTTGAATCTCCCAACTGCCTCCTATCCGTTCCTCCCCTCAACCCATCTGGGTTGCTATAACTGAGTGTTTTATTGGTCATCTTTTTCTTAGAACCTTTCAGGAGGCTGGCATTGACTTCAGGATAATGAAAATTACTACCATGGTAAACAAGACCTTAGATGATCTGGACCCTATCTACCTCTCCAGCCTCATCTTACACCATTCTGTATCTGGCATTCTATACGTCAGTCACCCTGAAACATCTCCATATGTTTGTAAGTGTCATGTTCCTTTCCTTTGATTCTGGGCCTCCGTTCAAATTGTTCTGCCTAGGAATACACTCAGTACCCTATTTTTTACCTCCAGCTCTTTCTCTTTCAAAACCTAAGTAATTCTTACTCAGAAGTCTTTCCTGAGCTCAAGGGTAGGCTAAGTTGACTGTGGTGTGTGCTCCCTAAGCTCTCTATACACTTCTCCCTCTTGTTAAAGAAAGCTCTTATTACATTGTGTACTGTAACGCCTTTTCCTCTCCTATTAGACTGTAAAATCCATGAAAGTAGAGGGAAAATCTGTCATGTTCTCTGTACCCTCAACTTTGAACAACTGAATAGAACCTGGCACAAGAGCTTAAAACTTAGTAAATACTTGTTGAGTAAATAAATGTGCACGTGTATATTTTCACCAGGTTCAGTCAAGCCCCCCACCTTTTGGTTTGTTTAACTAGGGTTTAATATATACAATAAATGCTCAAGAAATCTTTGGCAATGAATGAATCTCAGTAAATATTTTTCTGAGTAGGACAACAAGTAGGGGGTTTATGTCAGGGCCAAAGAAGGGAGTTGAGGGGTAGTCAGCCAAATTACTGGACCTAGTACCTGCAAGGGGATCTGAGGCCAACTCTATTATATTTGAATATAAATTTACCCTTGCTAGAGATTTGGGTGCTTGACAATGTATGTATGTATGTGTGTGTGTTTTTAAATTGGGCCCTAGTTGTATAAGAGGGAGCATTAAATTAACTTTCTATGTAGTTTTAGGTGAATTATCCTCTGCATTCCCCTAAAGGTAGGAGTAGAAAGAGTGGAAATGTGGACTGAAGGCCTGGTCTAGCTAGAATGTTGTCAGTTTTATGATACATTGTTTTTGATACATTGTGTCCTCAAGAACTTTTAAAAAAGGTTTGCTATTCCCATCTATTCCCATTGTAACCAGCAGGTGGCAGAAAACACATGCTTAACCGCATGTGCAGCTGCTTGGGGATGTGGAGCAGGGGAAATGTGCTAGCATACTCAGGGACCAGGGAAGTTGCCAGCAGACAACTGCTAAGGCTGGGGCTCACAGATATGGTTTCCTAATAATTTGCCTAATGAGGTCGGCCAGAGAATTCGAGGTGCAGATGCTTTCTTCCCAACAAATGAGGTAACATGGGAAGATGGTGGGAATTGGGGAGCCTGGCCAAGATAATAGGCTCTGAGAATTTAGGCATGTAGCTAGTTGCTCTCCACCCACCATCTGGGGCTTAAAATCCCCTCAGAAAACTTCCTGCTAATAGGAGATTTCTGCTGCCCAAACTTGCACACATCGTGTGCAAGCCGAATCCAGAGCGACGTACTCCAAAGGAAGCTTATCTTTGTGATAAGCCCAGTTCTTCATCCTTGTGGTATCTGGCATTTGGGCTAAGTTCAGAGCCCTCAGTATAAACTGAGGAAACATTAATTCAAACACACACAAGGGGGTGAGCAGGAGAAATATGTGATAAAAGGAGCTGAGACTGAAAAATACCTGGTTGGAAGGAACAGTGGTAAATTAAAAAATGCATTCCCTAACTAAAGGCAGTTACAGTCACCAATACCAGTACCAGTGTGCCTCATGCCGTGATTTTCTGAGTGAAGCCAAAGTGTGGCTTTTCAATACACCTTTGTCCAGATTTTACGAACACTTCTGGCCAAATTAAAGATAACTACACACCAAATTTGGCCTTCTGGCTACTCACTTTTGACCTCTCGCATGGGATAGAGCCTTCCTTCTTATTTAAGATCTAATAAATGCAGGCCTATTTTTATCTGCTTCAGAATGGAAACATGGACTAACAGATAAAAACTCATGGTTTATGGTTAATGTTTTGAGAAGAGCCGTAGGTCCTTGAGCACCTGTCTTGCCTTTGCCATCAGCGCCCTGTGATCCTGGTGTTTTTCAGTCTCCCTCCCCAGTTGTATGGGAGGAGTAGATGGGATGAGCTCTGAGATATCTGCCTGGAGGGAACTAAGCAGGAGAATCTGATCCAATCTGGACAGTGGGCTTACTCACACTTGAGCTGACCAGGCAGAAAGCTTTTGTTTTCCTCTAGGGCCGTGATTTTCAAATGGTGTGCCACAGAACACTGGTGTGCCATGCACGAGAGGATCTTAGGTGTGCCAGGAAAATTTTTAAAGATCTTTACATTATTTTTGAAAGCTCAAACACAATAAGTATATATATATATATATTTTTAACTCTTTTTCTGGTCAACATAATTTAAGTGTGCCCTGGATGTTTAACTATAGGTTCAAGAGTGCCACGAAATAAAATAGGTTGACCAACACTGCTCTGGGGTGTAAACTGGTAGGTGTTTGCAGAGTGTAGAGGCAGCTATGGAAGTACTATAGGCCCACCGTACTATGCACCTGCAGGGGGCTTCTTTTACACTTTAGTCTATGTAAATAGACATCCTGGAGTTGTGTAGTGCCCAAACAAAAGGCCTGGCGCTGGTCAAATATTTTGGACATGATCTTCCCAAATAAATGTTTCCAACCAATGCCTCTAGCAGAGGGAAATTAAGAATGCTGCTAGTCTACTGGGGAGAGGAGAAGGAAAAATAAAAATAAATCTCAGAGATAGCTGTGTCTGTTTGGTCATAGTCTTACTTAGATATTTTTTAAGAGCCAGAGACTAGGTATTCAATAGATAGTATGGGGTAACTAAAAGGGGTCTTATAAGAAGGGTCAGGCTTGCTACACCCAAGACAGTTTCCTCTTCCAATGCAGATTTAGAAGAATGGTGATATCTTAATTCCTATGGACATCTTCTGTCTTGGAATGTCGGCTTCCTCTATGTGGTAAGCTGCCAGAGGCTAATTGAATTAGATTGCTGATGTTTAAGAAACATACTGATGGAAATCCATGTATGTGTAATAATTTTAACCCTTGGCACTCGTGTGGCAGGGAAAAACTGAAAGCTACTTTGGCATCCCCTGATTTTTTTTTTTTTTTTTTTGAGACAGAGCCTTAAGCTGTCCCCCTGGGTAGAGTGCCGTGGCATTACAGCTCACAGCAACCTTCAACTCCTGGGCTCAAGCGAGTCTCCTGCCTCCACCTCCCAAGTAGCTGGGACCACAGGCGCCCGCCACAACGCCCGGCTATTTTTTGGTTGCAGCCGTCATTGTTGTTTGGCGGGTCTGGGCTGGGGATTTGAACCCGCCACCTTAGGTGTACGTGGCTGGCGCCTTAGCCAGTTGAGCTATAGGAGCCGAGCCGGCATCCCCTGATTTAATCCTCATCACAGTCACCCATTATGTACATTTAGTTCATTTTAAAGATGGGGAAATTGGACCCTGGAAGAGGGTAGCTTGAAGTCATACACCAAAGAGAGCTAAAGAGGCAGAGTCTTTGGTGACATGCACACTGTAGCTGGGTGGACAGCTATTTTGTTTTATCTTAGTGACCTTTATTGCTTAATAGATAGCTGTGCTAAATAGGTCAACCTATAGCTTGTAGGACCCGGTTTGCCCTACAGGCATGTGCTATGACTTGACAGGTCATAGTGTATGGCCCGTCTGGCCCATCTTAGTTGCCCTGATCTGTCACAGCAAAGACTTCAGGGCTGGCTCTCTGATTGGAAGGCCTCTTTATTCATTAGGTTATTTACCTCTTTTTTACTTTAACAAATCTTTCCCTGTATTTCAGGCATTGTCTTAGACACATAGGGACATAGCTCTGAACAAAAATACAAACGGTCTCTGTCCTTACGGAGCTTACAACTCAGTGGAAGAGATGAGCATTAAACAGTCACGTCATTGAATTTATAATTATAAATCAAGATACATTTGTAGATGATTAGAAATTGAGTCCAATTAAAACATAGGCTTTGCTAGCACACACAGCACCTTTGTGCAAATTAGAAAAAAGATGTCTCATTCCCCGGGCATATGAATTGGTATTCCATCCCTCTTGGCTGATATAGTCTCAAACCAGGACATAAGTTAGAGAAGAGTGCCTCCTTGTCCAGGGCCCGTGTAAGATACAACCTGCACAACCATACTGGAAGCCTTGTATAATAGCTTAATAAGGAACCTAGAACTTCACTAGGGTGTCTCAGGGAAAGAGGCTTCAGCTGAGAAATGAAAACCTGAGTGGGTTGATACTAAACACAGTGCACTGGGAAAGCAATCCAGGGAAAGAGGACAAGTCCCAGGAGTATGAGGAACTAAGAAAAAAGTGTGGTTGGTGCTCAGAGAGCAAGGGGGAAAGTAATGTGGCAATGAAGCTGGAGAGGAAGGCAGGCTCTCTGATACCCAGGAGGAAGGTCTGCTGGGGAAGTAGTGAGGAACCAGCGTATGGAGCAGTTTGCTTCAACAGGCTGCACACTCCCCATGGCAGAGTTAACAAAGGTTGGTGACTTTTCAGGGATGCCCTGACAAATATTCCTTTATTTAATCCCTCATAATATGAGAGAACCCAGCCTGGGGGAGGATATTGCTTGTTTCGTCTTTCCTGCAAGCAGAAAGCAAAGGCCTGGAACCTGGATATTCTACTTTTTTGGTCCAATTCCCTTCTGAAACCAGGTCCATTGAAATAATTTACTTGCAGAGAGAAAAATGGGTATTTCTCAGCCTGCCATCTTTTGAGTTTATGGCTAAATTATTATTTATTATTTTTTTTGGAGACAGAGCCTCAAGCTATACTGCTGGGTAGAGTGCAGTGGCATCACAGCTCATAACAACCTCCAACTCCTGGGCTCAAGCGAGTTTCCTGCCTCAGCCTCCCAAGTAGCTGGGACCACAGGTGCCCGCCACAACGCCTGGCTATATTTTTTGGTTGCAGCCGTCATTGTTGTTTTGGTGGGCCTGGGCTGGATTTGAACCCGCTACCTTAGGTGTATGTGGCTGGTGTCTTAGCCACAGGTGCTGAGCTGCTAGTTATTTTCTTAACCCCATCAGTATTACATTCACCATTAGTCTCTAGGTCAGTGGTTCTCAAACTTTCTAATGCCCCAACCCTTTAATACAGTTCCTCATGTTGTGGTGACCCCCACACATGAAGAGCGGTGTCTCAGTTCCTAAGACCGTCAGAGATATGTGTTTTCCGATGCTCTTAGGTGACCCCTGTGAAAAGGCAAAGGATCGTTCAACCCCCAAAGGGGGTGTGACCCACAGGTTGAGAACTGCTGCTCTAGGTGAGACCTGATGATTTTGGTGGTGTTTCTGTTACAGTTGGAAGAATGATTACCTCTAGGCCAGTGGTTCTTAACCTGGGGGTCGTGACCCACAGAAACTGTATTAAAGGGCCGCGGCATTAGGAAGGTTGAGAACTGCTGCTATAGACCTAACTAGGACAGTATTTATGGGAGGGAAAGTGAAGGGAAAGCTAAGACTTCCAGAACTCTTGTCTGACTTATCCACTGTGAAGGCTGGTCCAGTGAAAAACAAGTATCACAAGGTAAGACTGCCTAGAATTGCTCCGTTTACCACCAGCTGTCCCTCCTTAGGCAGTGACCCAAGGCCTACCTTGTGATGTCTCCGCTTCCTCCTGAACCGGAGCAGCTCTTTGTGTTGCCGAGACACGAAGTTGACAGCGGCATATTCTAGCAGGGCTGAGAACACGAAGAGCAGGCAAACTGCCATCCAAATGTCAATGGCTTTCACATAGGACACCTGGAGTGAGGGGAAAACACAGAGAAGTGAGAGCAGAGGAGGTAAAATATTGAGCACGGTGGAATGTTTTCTGCTCTTCAGTAATTCCCCGCATCACCCACCACTATCTGCTCCTCAGCTGGGGTATTTGGGTAGAGGATGCAAAGGAAAACAGAAAAATGCATCAAACAGACTGGACAGAATATTGGGGAATTGAGAAAATGTTATCTAGAATACTCAAGAGAGGAGGAATGGTGCATTTAGCATTATTTAGGGGAACAGATTGCTGTGCTGAGTTTAAGGATAACAGGAATAGAATATTTTACCAGGTATTGAAAGTGAATGGAGGATATCAACAAAAACAACAGCATAAGAACCTCTAAAAATTCCCTCCTTAGAATCAATGAGAGCACTGGCAAAAATTCAATCAACTTTTTTGGAACTCTGCTAATTACCAGAGGCCTGTAGCAATCTGTGAACGTTTATTCAAGAAAAGCAGCTGAATCTCAGTAAACAGCAAGCATTGTTTAAAACAGTTTTATTCAACTATAGTTCAGCTGCCATACGATATATACATTTTCACAGATATGTGCAAATCATCATCAGTCAATTTTAGAACGTTTTCTTCAAAATAAGTCTAGTACCTTATTGGCTGTTGCTATTTTATTCCTGTGACCATAAGCTACTACTAATCTACATTTCACATGAATGGAATCATGCAATACGTGGCCTTTCGTCATTGGCTTCTTTCACTTAGCATAATGTTTTCCAGGTTCACACATATTGTAGCATGCTATCAGTATTTCATTCTTTTTCATGGCTGAATAGTATTCCATTTATGGATATAAAACATTTTGTTCGTTCATCAATTGATGAATATTTAAATTTTCTAATTTTGGCCGTTAATAATGCTGCTGCTGTGAACATATTTTAACTTGCATATTCCTATCCTAACTTCCCCATCTCCCTGGTAGCCTTGAAAACCTATGGCCTGCAAGCACAGTGAAAACCAGCTGTCTGGCAGCCACTGAAAGGGACCGCATGGAATTGGAGTTTCTTCAGAGCTCCATTCCTAGAGAATTATCATTTGACCTATCTCATGGTTTAGTTAAAGGCCTCACTCACAAGGCTATCTTTATTCGACTTGATTTGGAGCTGGCCCAGTGTGAACAGCCTTTCCTCTGGGGGCATGTGTCAAAAACAATCAATGGAAATTGCTGCCAGAGGCAGTTGGGGCAAAACAATAGATTAATCAAAAAGCTTAAAAGGAAAAGCTGGATAATGAGATGTCCTTGGGGGATTTGGAAAGCTTTGATATATCTTTGGGAATCAATGTGTAGGCTTAGGCTGTGTGCGTACTCAAGGAAGACCTGAGAAGGCCCCAAAACTTTTACTCAGTGCTCTGAGCAGGTCGGAAGGCAAAGACACACATACACACACTTGGAGCCTGTTGGCGAAGACTGGGAGATTTATAGCTTCCAGGTATTTAAGGAAATCTTTGTCTAATTTTTAGCTAACTATCAAGCATACTTAACAGAGACTTCAGTATTCATACATAACAGGGAATACACACTTTACATAATTAGTTCAGAAAAGTTAACCAAGCAACAATAACAACAATGAATCTTGAGGAAGAAGAATCTGATTTCCCCAATTGCCACATTGTATTATATAAAACATCCAATCTTCAGCAAAAAATTATAAGTCATTCAAAGAAACAGGAAAGTGTAGCCCATTCCTAGGAAAAAAGCAGTCAAAAGAATCTGAGGAAATCCTTGAGGAAACCCTGAGGTTGGACTTGAAGTACTTTTTATTCTTTTGAGTCAGGGTCTCACTCTTGCCCCAGCTGGAGTGCAGTGGTGTCATCATAGCTCATTGCAAGCTCAAATTCTTGAGCTCAAATCAGTCTCCTGAGTATCTGGGATTATCGCCATGTACTACCATGGCCTACTAATTCAAATTTTTTTTTGTAGAGATGAGGTCTTTATATATTGCTTGGACTGGTCTTGAACTCCTAGCCTCAAGTGATCCTTATTATAAATATGTGAAAAGAACTAAAAAAATGATGTCTAAATAGCTATAGGAAAATAGGGGGACCATTGTCTCCCTAAATAGATCAATTAATAAAGGGAAATTATAAAAAAAAGAGCCAAATAGAATTAGAAAATGAACCAAATAGTAAATACGTAGTTGATAAGTAAAATAATTAGAATGAAAACTTCATGAGAGGAGACCAATAGCATATTTAAGCGGGCAGAAGAAAACTCAAAGAAAAAGCAGGAAATTTGAGATTATATGGTTTTAGGAACATAATGAAGAGAAAAAAATCAGAGCCTCAGAGCCCTTTGGGAAACCATGAACTGCACCAACATAATGTTTAACAGGAGTCTTCAAAAGAGACAGAAAGAGGCAGAAAGAATATTTGAGGAAATAATGGCTGAAAATGTCCAAAATTTGAATTTAAAAACTCTACCAATCCACACATCTAAGAAGATTAATGAATCCTGCTTGGAGACATCATAACCAAACTATCAGAAGACAAAGACAGAATCTTGAAAGCAAAAGACAAGTGATTAAGCAGATTCAAAGATTCTTGCTAAAATTAATAGCTATATTCTCAGACACCATGGGGTGAAGAAGACAGCAAAGAACTGAAAGGAAATGACTGTCACTTTTGTCAAGAATTCTATATCCAGTAAGATTATCCTTTTAAAATTATCATCTAGGCATGGTGGTACACATCTGTAGTCCCAGCTGCAAGAATTTGAGGCTGCAATAAGCCTGGGTAACAAAGGGTGACCCTTTCTCTGTTAAAAAACAAAACAATTCTTCAAAAATGAAGCAGATAAAAGCTAAGAGACTTCTCCACTAGCAGACTTTCTCTACAAGAAATACCAAAAAGAGTTCCTCAGGCTGAAATGAAAGGGTGTTAGACAATAACTCAAATTCACAGGAAGAAATAAAGGACACCAGTAAAGGGTTTCATAGGTAAATATGCATGACAATACCAATGTGTTCTTTTGGTTTATAACTATTTTCTCCCTGATTTCAAAGACAACTGCATAAAGCAATGATTTTAAAGTTGTACTGATGCCCATGTCATGAATGTGGTTCATATGACAATAATGGTGGAAGGAATAACAAAGGAAGAGGGAGGGAATGGAGCTCTGTAGGATCAAAATTTTTTTTGTTCTTTTATTTTTTTGCAACAGAGTCTCATTGTGTCACCCTTGGTAGAGTCCCATGGCATCACAGCTCACAGCAACCTCAAATTCTTGGGCTTAAGTGATTCTCTTGCCTTAGCCTCCCAAGGAGCTGGGACTACAGGCGCCCGCCACAACGCCTGGCTATTTTTTTTTTGTAATTATCGTTTAGCAGGCCTGGGCTGGGTTCAAACTCACCAGCTTAGGTGTATGTGGCTGGCACTCTAGCTGTTGAGCTACAGGGGCCAAGCCCAAAGTTTTTTGTGTTCTATTTGTTATGGAATCAATGTGTGCCCCCAGATTTAAATGTTGAAGCTCTAATCTTCAATGGAACTATATTTGGAGATAGAGTCTATGTAAAAGTAATAAAAGTTAAGTAAAGTCACTGGGGAGGGGGGATTCCCAATCTGGTACACAAAGACATTAGGGAGGAAGATTCACTAGAACTTTCTCCCACCATGTGAGGACAAAGTGAGAATGTGCCCATGGGTAAGAGGGGTAGCAAGTCTTCACCAGCCAGTTGCCACCTTGATCTTGGACTTCCCAGCCTCCAGAACTATGAGAAATAAATAATCTGTTGTTTAAGTCACCAAATCTGTGATATTAAGGCAGCACAAGTAGACTAAGACACTATTGTCATTAAATTGGTATTAATCTGAATTAGATTGTTTAAAATGAGGTGTTAATTGTAATCCCCAGAACAATCAAATAACTAACAAGTATAGTAAAAGGAATGACAAGGGAATTAAGATGACAGTAGAAAATATATATTTAACATAAAGGAAGGAAAAATGGAGGAATTGAGACATAAAAAAGACAAATAGCACATGGTAGATGTAAATTGTACCAAATCACACCTTTTATCATATTCACTAAATTAAATAAAAAAATAAAAATGGACCAGACAATCCAATCAGAAGTTAAAGACTGTCAGACTGGAGTAAAAAAATAAAATCTTAATGCTGTCTACAAGAGACACTTTGAATTTAAAGAAACAAATAGGACAAAAGTAAAAGAATGGAAAAATATATATCATGCAAATAGTAACCAAAAATGATCGAGAGGTGGTTATACTAATATCAGGGAAAAAAAAGTCTTTAAGAAAAAAAAATTATTACTAAAAATAGGCATTTTATCAAAATAGGAGTCAATCCATGAAGAAATAATGCCATTATAAATATCTATGGTTCTAACCCCAGAACCTCAAAATAGATGAAACAAAACTGTCCAAATTGAAGGAAGAAACAATTCCACAATAATATGGAGGACTTCAATACCCCACTTTCAGTAATGAATAGAACAATTAGAAAATCAGCAATATTGATGTAAGCATTCCAAATTGTATATCAAATCGCATTGTACCCCATAAAAGCGTTATAGTATACATGAAAAAAAAAAGTCCTCTGCAGTGTCTTCCAATAATGTTTTATTAACTAATATTTGCATAAAAATAAATATAATTTTATCATAAAAAAGAAAATAAGTGAATAAATAATTGAATAACACTCTAAACCAACTAGATTTAAAAACATCTATAGAATACTCCACCCAACAAAAGAAGAATATATATTCTTTCCAAGTGCACATGGAATATTCTCCAGGATAGACCATATGCTATAAAACAAGTCTCAATAGACTTAAACTAATTGAAATCATACAAAGTTTGTTTTCTGACCTCAATAAAATACTCAAAATCAATAACAAGAAAATCTGAAAAACTCATAAAAATGAAGAAATTAAAAATGCATTCCTGTAAAGGCATGGTGGCTCACACCTGTAATCCTAGCACTCTGGGAAAGTAAGGCTAGAGGATTGCTT